GTCAGCTGCAGGACATGCTGCTGGACTACAACCAGCTCTCCGGCCCCCTCTCGCCCGGCTCCTGCGTCTCTCCCCATCATCCAAACCATCTCAGCAAGAGGGAACGGATTCGAAGGCTCGGTCCCGAAGGAGCTAGGGTACGCGCAGCGGCTTTCAAGGTTGGATCTGGGGGGAAACAGGCTGGATGGGAGCATTCCAGAGACGCTGGGGCAGATGTGGAGTCTGACTTCGTTGAGGTTGGACTCGAACCGGATAGGAGGGTTGATTCCGACGAGGCTGAACACGCTGGCGCAGCTGCAGGTGCTGACGCTGAATGGGAACGATTTAGTAGGGGAACTTCCCCGTTTAATGGGCTGGAGAATCTGGTTCGGTTTGACGTGTCGAATAATGATTTGTTCGGGTCGACGCCGGCAGAAGGGCCCCTGGCGAAGTTCCCCCCGTCCTCGTTTGAAGGCAACCCGGGATTGTGTTATGGGGAATGCCCGCCCTCCCCCCCTGGTGGGACCCCAGTCCGCCCTCCCCTCCCCCTCGTGCCCCCCGCCCCCTTCGTCTCCCCATCCGCTCCTCTTCCTCCTCCGCCTGCCTCTCCCCCACCGCAGGAGCCCCCTCCCCCGGTTCAGCCTCCTCCTCCTCTTCTCCCTCCACCTGTGTCCACTCCCCCTAACGCTCCCCCTCGGCTTCTTCCCCCTCCTCTTTCTTCTCCTCCTCTTCTTCCCCTCCTCTGCTGCTCCCCGCTCCCCCTTTTCCTCCCCCCAAGCCCCCCTCCCCCCCGGAAACGCCCGCCCCCATACCCCCGCTCTCCCCTCCCAATCCCCCCTTCCCCCCCAACCTCCCCTTTCTTCCCCGAAATCACCCCTGCAGGTCCCCCATTGTCCCCCCCCCCAAGCGCACTCATCCCCCAAGACCCCCATCCCGCCACCCCCGTCCCCCCTGGCCTCCCCACAACCATTCCCTCCTCCTCGCCCCCATACACATCACCCTCTTCCCCCCAGCAAGCCCCCCTCCCCCCCACGCCCTCCCCCCGTCCGCCTCTGACCCCTCCCCCACTTGCGCCTCCCCCTGGTACCGCCCCCCCGCCAGGGGAAGGGCCTTCCCCCGCCCCCTCTCCTTCCCCCAGCCCTTCCCCCTCATCCGCACCCTCTCCCGCTCCCACTTCTTCCCCCTCCCCTACTCCTGCTCCCGCTTCCCTTCTCCCTCCTCCTCTCGCCCAACCGCCCATTTCTCCCCTCCTAATTCCTCCACTCCCCCACCCTCCCAAGCAACACCTCCTCTCCCTTCTCCTCTCACCCCTCCTCTCACTCCCCCTCTCACTCCCCCTGCCACCCCTCCTTCAAACTCCCTCCCACCACCACCACCACCAGCACCACCGCCTGGTGATTCGTCTAGTAACCTAGACGTATCCTCCTCCCCCACCCCACCTCCCCCCTCTACAAGCACCAACCCCTATAGTAACGACCTGGCCTGGTGGCAGCTGCTCGCGTTATGTGCTGCCTCGTTACTAGCAACTCTGCTCTTTGCAGCGCTGTTCACCTTTGGATGCCCGTATCTCTGCGGCATGGCAGCACGGGCGAAGCACAGGTATAATGGGGTGCCTACTAACGAGGATGCTGCTATTAAAGCGGAAGCTGAAGCAGCAGCGGCGACGGCGGCGGTGGCAGGGGGAGCAGGAGCAGGGACTTATAGCGGGCCGTACAGTAACGAGTATGGAACGGGAGGAGCAGAGGGAGAAGGGGGGATGGGATGCAGGGAGGGAAGGGATGCCTGCTGGTGGTGCTGCTGGTGGTACAGCAGCAGGCGGGGCAGCAACAGCAGCAGCAGCAGGAGGAGGAGGAGGAGCAGGAGCAGCAGGAGGAGCAGCGCTGATAGGAGCAGCTGCTGCTGCAGCTGCAGTGGGTATAGGTGCTGGTGCTGCCGGTGCTGCAGCAGCAGCCGGCTCAAAATCACCAGGAGGGGCCGGAGACGATGATGATGATGATGCAGATGGTGTGCGGCAGGAGCAGGAGGGGAGAGCAGCTCGTTGCTGGTGACCATGTTTGACGGGAGGGCCGTGCGTGCATCCGCGTTATTAGCAGCCACGGACGAGTTCGGGCAGAGCAAGATGATCACGAGGGGCCCGGGGCCCAGCGGGGGGACGGCGTTTGTGGCGGACATGCTGGGGGACGAAGGACCCATGCTCGTGGCGAAACTGCTGCCCACGGTGACAGAGCAAGGGGAGGATGGGGAGGAGTTTCCTGTTCCTATGAGTCTGAATATGGAGGTGAGTGGGGTGGCGTTTGTGGCGGACATGCTGGGGGACGAGGGGCCCATGCTCGTGGCGAAGCTGTTACCTACTGTTGCAGAGCAAGGGGAGGACGGGGAGGAGTTTTCCCCGTACCCATGAGTTTGAATATGGAGGTGAGGCTTTTGCGGGCTCGAGCAGACATCCGCCCCTCAAACGGGCTGCATCTGGCGTCAGCCGCCCACCAATCATCCCCTTGAAGCCCAACCTTGTTCCCATTCCCCCCAGGTGATGCGGGGACAGGCAGAAATCAGCCACCTTGGACACGCGCCACGAATGAGTTTTTTTCTATATCGCCACTTTTCAACTGTTTCGGAAACATCCCACTTTGCCCCCTTCCATGATTCTTACGCCACCAGGAATTGCGCGCCTAGCGAAGTCAACCACCCGAACCAGACATGCTCATCTGGCTGGCATCTGCCACCCACAAAGATTTCAGAAAACCCCATCCCGCGCTTCCATTCCCCTCAGGAAATGCGGGCGCTGGCGGAGATCGACCATCCGAACGTGCTACCACTGCTGGTTGCGGGAGGATGAGATCACGGGGAGGCGCGTGCTGCTGTACGAGCTCATGCCCAATGGGGATTTGAACGACTTCCTCTATGATGAGGTGAGTGACTAGCCTCTTGCATGTGGTGTGACACTGTGAGGGTGTTGATGGTGGGATGCGGACCTTGTGCCTGCTATTGAGAAGATGAATCACGGGCAGGTGGGTGCTACTGTATGCCCAACGGGTGACTGTTGAGGCGACTCAAAAGTCGGTACTTTTGAGTTGACTCATAAGTCACTGCTGTACGAGCTCATGCCCAACAGGGACCTCAACGACTTCCTCCACGATGAAGTGAGGGTTGGGGTGAGGTCTCCGATGGCGGGGTGAGGGCTCGATGGCGGGTGAGGGCTCGATGGTGGGGTGAGGGCTCGATGGCGGGTGAGCGCTCGATGGCGGGGTGAGGGCTTGATGGCGGGGTAACGTTCCGCTGGGATGATGGGGATAAGCGCCTCGTTCACAAGCCTGTCTTCCTCATTATACCTTCTGAGTCGACTCAAAAGTCACCTCGTTCACGACGCCTGTCTTCCTCATTATACCTTCTCCTCTTTCCTGTCCTCCCTCCTTCCCGCCGTCTCTCCTCCCCTCCTCTCGTTTCCTCCCTTCCTTCCCTCCTTTACTCCATTCCCCCTTCCCTGCTCTCCCTCTCCCCTCCTTTCCTACGTTCCTTCCCTCCAGCAGCTGTCTGAAAACTCGCTAACATGGGTCGCCACAAAGAAAGTGGCTCTGGGAAGAGCGCATGGCGTGGCCGATCGGCACACGCTCACTCTCCTTCCCTCGTTTCCTCTTTCCTCCCTCCCTCCTTTCCCTCCATCCTTTCCCTCCCTCCTTTCCCTCCCTCCTTTCCCTCCCTCCTTTCCCTCCCTCCTTCCCTCCCTCCTGTTAAGGAGCCCTCTGAGAACTCGCTAAACGTGGCACGCCAGGAAGGAAGTGGCGATAGGGATAGCTCAAGGGTGGTGCACCTGCACGCGCACACTCTGCCTCGGCCGTCCCGGCTCGCAGCTAGCCCCTGACCCTCTGGTGCATGAGTTGCTAACGCTCCGTGCTTCCCCTTTGTTTTTGCTCATTCCGCCTTCCTTTCTGAGCAGGAGTTGTCTGAGAACTCGCTAACGTGGGACGCGCGGAAGAAAGTGGCGACAGGGATACCTCAAGGAGTGGCGCACCTGCACAGGCTCACTCTGCCGCACCCACCCTTGCCCCCCAACACTCCCTTGCTTCCTTGCAACCAGGAGCTTTCTGAGAACTCGCTAACGTGGGACGCGCGGAAGAAAGTGGCGATAGGGATAGCCCAGGGCGTGGCCCATCTCCATACCCTCACTCTCCCGCGGCCGCCCGGCTCCCAACTGCCCCCGACCCTCTGGTGCACGGGTCGCTGCATCCAGGGAACATCCTGTTGGGGACGATGGGGAAGCGCGGCTGACCGACACGGCAGCTGCCCGCATTGCATTCGATTCGGACGATGTACACGTGGCGCCTGAAACACTTGGTATACTCCGCCTGGTGAGTATGTGCTCTGAGGATAACACCTTCCCCCTGGTAGGCAGGATCTGGTGCAGGGGGTCGCCGCATCCACAGAACATTCTGCTGGGGGGGGGGGGGGCGATAGGGATGCGCGGCTGACAATCACTGCTGCGGAGCGCATTTCCTTGGACTCGGGCCATGTGCACGTGGCTTGGCTTGCTCTCGAGACGCTGGGGCATAGTCCTCCTGGGAAGTGTCTTACCACTGGGGCTCCAAGGACGACCTGGTCGTTGGAGGCATGCTTTGGGATTTTGTCGCTTCACAAACCACTGTGGCTCTGATGACCTTGTCGTTGAAGGCATGCCTCTCCTGGTGGGACTCTGGAATACCTGCCACCCCATCCCACCCCCATCCCACCCCACCCCAACCCACCCTCCCCGCTCTTTCACAAACTCTCCCACTCCAACGCGCTCCTCTCTCCCGCCCAGAGTAGATGTCCGGCCCCAACAACAGCAACTCCAGAAGGGACTTTTCTCAGCTTCGAGGTCGTTTTACTCGAACTGCTCACCGACCCGCCGCCCCCTAGACCCCTGACCTTTCTCTTCCTAGAAACTCAACCTCGCTCCCTTTTCCCCCACCCAACCCCTTCCCCCTCCAGAGTACATGTCTGCCTCGACAACAGCAACGCCAGAAGGGATGTCTTCAGCTCAGGAGTGGCCCTCTTGGAGTTGTCAACCAGCAGACCCCCCTTGGACCCCTGGTTTGGTTTGCAGACCCACCATGCTCATTCTCTTCCTGCCTCACTCCCCCTTCCCCCCCCCCCCCTCCAGAGTACATGTCCGGCCCTACAACAGCAACCCCAGAGGGCGACGTGTTCAGCTTCGGCGTCGTTCTTCTCGAGCTGCTAACAGGCCGACCCCCTTAGACCCCTGGTTCGCAGAGAACGAGCTGGGCGAACGTGATCGGGTGGAGTGAACGTGTGTGTGGAGGAGGGGCGGCGGGGGATGTCTTGGACCCGAGGGTAGCGGATATAGCGGAGTGCGAGGGCGAGATGCTGGAGGCGCTCAAGATCGCGCTGGTGGTGCGTGGGGGAGGAGGCGAGGAGCGGCCCATCATGGCGGATATAGTCTCCATGCTGGAGAGAGTAGGCGACGAGGGGGGTGGGTAGGCCTGTGAGTTCTGGGTGCTGAAAACACAAGGCGCTGGCAGGAGGGCAGTAGTAGGGGGGGCAGGAGAGGGCAGGAGGAGGGGCAGGAGGACAGGAGGGGGGGATGAGGCCCAAGAGGGGGGCGTGCTGGACCCGAGAGTGGCGGCATAGCGGAGTGCGAGGGCGAGATGCTTGAGGCGCTCAAGATCGCGCTGGGTGTGCGTCTTTTAGTGTGCTGCACCCATCACACGATGACTTGCATATCAACATCATGAGGGACCTTCCACGGTCCACCTCAATAACTAAATGCCTTGAAATATCATTGCATTGATATCGCACTTTCGGAGTTTCCTCCCAGGGAGGTGCCCTTCCTGTCATTCCACGACCACGACCTCATGGTAGCCGCCCCGGTCTGGGTTTAGTTCGTGGGTGCACGGGGTATCACAGCTGGGTATAGACGTCTGGTTTTCCAAGCGGTCTATGTCGCAAATGTGGTCCTACGGTGGGACTCCCATCCAAGCCAAGGCGTCTCTGCCCGGTTTTCCTCTTGTATCAAAGGTATCAAATGAGCTGGATAGGGTACAATTGATCCTGCTCTGCTTCACTTCAAGACTGCAATTCTCACCAGAACAGCAATTCCACCCAATATATACATGTTCTAACGGTGCTAAACCGGCAATTAGGCACTAAAATGGTTCGAGCGGGAGTTTCAGCATCCATGCTCGCATGCTGCTCCGCCTCACGAATCCCAAACTATTTACAGGCACGCGCGCAAAACTTCCTCGCGGCTCTGCCTCACGAATCCCAGACTATTTACAGGTACGCGTGCATCATCCACGCAGGCATGCATCACGCCAGGTGAAGGGCCGTCCCTTCAAGCCAGCTCGTAGATGAACGAAGTCTCCTTCACCTGCTGGTTACCAGGATTCACCTTCTTTCGCCAGGCCTCTGTCCACTGCTGCACCCAATCCAGCAGCCAAGTAGCATGTGAAAAAAGGAAACCGTGAGAAAAACAGACACACAAAAAATCGGCAGCGCACAATCGCGTGAAGCTGACAGGCAAGACTGTGTCCGTCGTCTTACTAGTAGTACTACTAGTAGGAAAGAGATATCCGCTGGTCCGTGGGAACAAGAACAGGGCGAGGTCGATTACCTCTTCCGATTCTTCTCAACGTATTTCTGCCAACTCGCACCGATAGTCAGTGAGGCGAGTACCAGCAAGCAATCATCCATGATAATGAACAGCCACGCCATTAATGATGTGTACGGAAAGTCCTCCAACAGGCCATGTGATGAGGACGACTACGACGCTTGGATTAGAAAATTTTATCCGATAATATAGCGTGGTACTAACATGAATTGCGTAGGAGGTGCCGACTGTCACGAAAGCGACGGCAGACGCCATGCCGAGAGTAGCTGTCGCCAGATTCCACGGTCGAATAGGCATGAGAGTCGGCATTCTCAAGGTTTCGCTGGCGATTTGCTGACAAAGAGGAACTCCCAAACGCACGCGCAAGGAAAGTTGGCAGAAATTAGCGCGAAGTAATGGTTGCGAGTGCCAAGAAAGTCTTGGAGAAGCGCGGTGTAGATCGAAGTTGAAACTGGAAATAGAATGACGGAGTCGAGTGAATTTGAGTGGGAAGACGCTGGGTGGGGAGGATTTGCCCTTGGGAGCGCGAGCAGAGAAGCGGCGTGTGGGAGAGGCGAGGGGAGGGGGAACACGCGAAGCCTTCAGCAGAGGTCCTTGGGGCAGAGGTCCTTCGGGCAGAGGTTCTGTACTGGAACAAAAGGTGAAAGCGCTGAATCTAGGGGTGTCCAGCGAGTGCGGTGTAATCGAACGGTTCAGAGGAAACGACGGTTGGGATACACAGGCTTCTGCTGTCTGGGGAGAAACTCGTACACTTTCGCTCATGAGCAAATGGCAGCGGCCGAATTCCGACAAAACAATTCAGATCACATTTCGTCTGCCCGTAAATTTGCATCCCTGGGGACCACGTGACGGAAGTTGAAACGAAAGCGCATGGCTGAATCCACGTCACCTCACCAGGGAATCGGTGCTGCGTCTCAGTGCGCAAATCACACGTGTCCGTCGGAACACCTCCCCTCGTCCACCTCACGTGTGGACCCAAGCACGTCGCAGCGCCATGCGACCCGCGAATGCACGCAATTTTGATTTTTCTCTGCACAAACGCACTTCTGCACGCAATGCAACCCTCGATTTCTCAATTCTCTCAAATGTCACCGACCGACCGCACCGCCACATACTGCACCTCCTCCATGCCTTCCGTGACGACCAAGCAACGCCTGCTTTCGGCAGTATCTCACGAAGGTCAAATTCTCCCCTTTTCTCCACCTGAGTGCTTTCCGTTGCCCTTGTGTGGCATATCTTGGAATGCCGCGATGATGTGCACACGTGGTGCAGAGAAGCAGCAGCTTGCCGTAATGCATTCTGTACCGCTCGATGCAATATCACCAGCGCTTCCTCCATCATGGTGAAGCAGCGCCGGCGTTCCCCCGTTCCTCTGCTTCAGCTCACGTGAGATGAGGACCGCTTGCATACCCAAGGAGGCCGCCATGATGATGCGCTTTTTCTCCTACCTCCCGCCATGGCCCGCTCCTCTCCCCGCTGCATGGATCCATGCACGGCCATCTCGAGCCCGCCTCTTCGGCGAGGCGCCAGACCAAGCGCATCCGCTTAAAAGCGGCCCTCTTCTTGTTAGCGTCTGCTGCGCCCCGCTGTCGAAGCTTCTCCCCGAGATGCAGCATCCTTCTGTTACTCAAAATAGCTTTTTCCACGCCGCTCCCTGTGGCTCGGCTTCCTTTTGGCCCGTGAACCTGCTTCTTGAAAGGCCCACCAACCCTCGGGCCGAAGCTCTGGATTTGTCGTAGCCACAATTCCTTGTCGCCGAGTTTCCGCAGTCCCTTGGAGCAACCCTCGTTCCGATCAGTCCCCTCCCATGGCGACGGCCGCTTTCGCCTTCGCGTCGTCAATGATAGCCCGCCAGGTCACTCGTTCCTTCACAGCATCCCACGCAGTGGCGGCGTGCGCGTCCGCATCGGCGTCTGCGTCGGCGTCGGCGTCGGCCGCGGCGGCGGCGGCACCGCCATCACCCGTTTCGCAACAGGCACTCCGCGCCATGGCGGCTTCCCGCTGGAACGAGCTCTGGGGCAGCTCGTACACAGGCGGAAGCGCGCGCTCCCGCGCGCAGGGGCGCTTTGAGACGCCCCCGTCCCTCGGCGGGGCTGCGCTTCCGCTGCCAGGCGCGCAAACGCTGGGAGCCCCCTTCCCCTTGCGCACATCTCGACCCCCCGCGAACGACCACCAGGGGCTTTCGTTCCGATGCCTTCATGGCTCCCGGGGCGACCAGAAGCAGCAGCCGCCGCAGCCTTTTGTCTGCTAGTGGCGGCGCTAGTGGCGGCGCTAGCGCCAGGGGAGTTGCCTCGGATGCTGCCGCGGATGCTGCCGCGCAAGAGGCGACCTCGCGGCCCTCGAAGGAGTGGCGGATGTTGCCGCTGGGGTACCGCCCCGCGCACGCGGTGGCGCTGCAGGAGCGCATCGAAGAGATGTGGGAGGCGCGCGCGGGGCGGGAAGGGGGAGGCGGGGAGGGTGCGGGGGAAGGCAGCGGGAGAGAAGGAAGGGGGCGAGGGAGCGAAGGAGAGTGTGAAGGAGGAGGAGCGGCGCGAGTTGGAGGCGCTAAATTGGGCGTTCAGTCAGCTGCCGGTGTCGGTGTTCCCGTGCCAGCATAAAAGGTACGGTACTCTGTGGTCTCATATGCTTCTCGGTCTACGTTCGATAGAAGTTTAGTTTTGAGATGTCTCACCCGTACCAGCTTGAAGGTATGATGTTCTGTGGACTCCTATGCCTCGTGTCTACGTTCTTCGCTGTGGTGCTCGACACTTTGAGAAGTTTCGCACGGACTCACTCACAGCGGTACCGTGCCCCCTGTCGTCCTGCCCTTCCCTCTCCTCCTTCCCAGTGCTCGAAATCCCCTCCGACGCTCGTCTCTCGGACGCTCTTCGACTGCTGCAGAAGTCCGGGCTCATGGCGGCACCCGTCAGGGACGTGGCAGCGAGGGAAGACGCGCCTCTGCAGCAGCGGTACCTCGGCATGGTGGATGGCGCGGGCATCGTGCTGTGGGTCATGGGGCAGGTAGGAGAGACAGGGGGACGGGAAAGAGGGGGGGGGGAAGGGCGGGGGGAGTGGAGGGGGGTTGTGGGGGGCGGAGGGGGGGGGGGGGAACATGGTGAGAGGGGTCGTGGACGATGCTTTCTTGGAGCAGCGGGACTTGGGGGATGGTGGGCGCGCGGAGATTGTACTGTGGGGGGCAGGTACTAGGGGCTTGGGCTTGGGCTTGGGGGAGGGACAGTGGAGGGCAGGAGGGGCTTGGGTTTGAAGTGGTTTTACTTGAGAAAGATGCTTCGTGCCCGTCGCGCTTCCTCCACATTCCCGCCCGCCCCTCACGCCTGCTCTTCTTCGCTCTTCCCCCAACCCCCCTCCATCTTCCTCCTTTTCTCAGCTCGACCGTTCGTCTGCAGAACTCCGCATGGCAGCAGCAGCAGGGGGAGGCTTGGCCGGGCTGGCAGTGGCAGGGCTGGGCGCAGCAGCGTTGGGCGCTCCAGATGCTGCCGCGTTGGCGGCCATGTGGGCAGGATCAATGGCTGGCGGGCTGCTGGGCTCCAAGTCAGCAGAGGCGCCGGGGGAGGGGGAGGCAGGGGGAGGGGTGGAGCGCGTAAGAGTTTCGGCAGGGGGACTTGACCGGCTGCTGCAGAGAAACGTGTTTCAGACGACTATGGTAAGTTGGTAAAGGTAATGGGGTGGGACACGCCAGTCTGTGAGGAGGGCGAGGGGTGGAACGGGTGTCGGCCGGCCGGGGGATTCTTCAGGATTCTTCAGGATTCTTCAGGATTCTTCAGGATTCTTCAGGATTCTTCAGGATTCTTCAGACAACTAAGCGAAGTGGTCACCCTTCCCCCATCGCCCTTCCCCCATCGCCCTTCCCCCATCGCCCTTCCCCCATCGCCCTTCCCCCATCGCCCTTCCCCCATCGCCCTTTCCCCATCGCCCTTCCCCACATGCCCTTCCCCTGTCGCCAGGCCTCCACCATCACAACACCGCATCGCACGCTCCTCCCCTTCTCCCAATCGCCTCTTTCCCTCTGACTCCCGACTCCCTTGCTCACAAGCCAATGGGGCGTTGTGCTCGTGGTGCCCATTCCTCGTGCACCCTTCTCGCTGCACCCCCGTTCACGCCCCCCCAATCTTTGCACCAGGTGTCTGACCTGGTGGGGTCCTTCCGCTGGCGCTCCTTCCTGCCATTCTCCTCATCTGGTGCCTCATCCCGCCCCCTCCTCTCCCCCACATGCCATACCTCCGCCTCCCCCTCATATTCCTATATCTCATTCCTCCCAAACCTTTCTCCCCTGTTCTCCACCTCTCCCACACACACACCAGGTGTCTGAACTGGTGGGGTCCTTCCGCTGGCGCTCATTCCTCCCCCTCTCCTCGTCCGACTCAGTCCTCTCTCTCATGCTGCTGGCTCGCCATGCCCCACCGCCCCCAAGTGCTCCCCATCGTCACCTACCCCCCACCTCCTCCTCTCCCTTCTCTCCTCTCCTTCTCCTCCTCTCCCTTCTCGTCTCCCTCCGCCTCCTCTCCTGCGTCCTCCTCTCCCTCCTCCCCCACTCCATCCTCCCTTCTCTCCTCCTCTCCCTCCTCCTCCCCTCCCTCCTCCTCCTCCGCCACTTTTCCTGCTTCCACTTCTGCCGAGCCTGCTGCTGCAGCTTCGTCACTAGGTTCGGAGACCGCCCCTGTGCCGAGCCTGTCAGCCCTGGTGTCGCAGGCTGATGTGGTGAATTTCCTGGCGGAGTGTGACGGGCAGCCGTGGTTCGAGTGGGTGGCGGGGAGAAGGCTGAGTGACATGGGGCTCCCGAGAATGGACAAAGAATCGACTGTGAAGGTGAGATTCATCGTCTCACCCGAAGAGCAGCCGTGGTTCGAGTGGGTGGCGGGGGAAGCAACTGAAAGACGTGGGGACGCCAAGAACTGCTGGATATGCAAGGTGAGGAGTGATGTTGAGCAGCTTTTGAAATATTGTCATTTTGAGAGGCAAAATGACAAAAAGATGCGGTTTGTGCCAGCCGGGAATCGGAACCCGGGTCTGCACCGTGCTGATGGCAGGGTGCTATTCTACCACTAGACCACTGGCACTCGAGGGATGAGTATTTGTGTGCCTTTGAGAATTTTGAAATGTTTGAGCAGAGCTCTACAGCAGGATGACAATGGAACCAATGTCGAAAGTTTGGCCAGTGACATTGCAAGTGCGTCACAGACGTTGACAGTGCAAACGCGTCACAGACGGTGACAGCATTTGGTTTGGGTGCAGAAAATTGCCGGTTGGATTCCTAGCATCCCTAGCATCCCTAGCATCCCTAGCATCCCTAGCATCCCTAGCATCCCTAGCATCCCTAGCATCCCTACAGTTGCAGCAGAATGCAATGGTCAGCCTGGCAGTGCAACGGACAGCCTAGCAGAGTGCAACGGATAGCCTGGATTAGAAGGGGTGGCCGAAATACAAGTGGAAGACAGAGGGCTTTTTGAAATGCCTGCTGCAGAATCACCAGTCGAAGAGGTGAGCGATGTGTCGTTAACTCTTGAAGACAGACAGCTGTGGCTCTGGTGGGTGGCGACAAGATGCGTGAGTTGTGAGGCTGTCAGGCATAGTGCAGAATGGGCGGTTGAGGTGAGTCGTGTGAGTCACATGCTTGGTTGGGAAAATGATCGTTGTTAGCAAAAGGGAAGTGAGTAATGGATGGGCTCACAACTTTTCTTGCATCCACGTTTGTTTCACGGACTCTTTGGATCATAAGAGGAGAGGAGGTAGCCAAATTCTCCAACAACACGTTCTTGGTGCAACAAGGTAATGAGGAGGAAGTACTAGTATCAGCGATCGACATCATGATGCCCAAGAAAGGTAAAGAGTTAGATGTGCCAGCCGGGAATCGAACCCGGGTCTGCACCGTGCTGCATGGCAGGGTGCTATTCTACCACTAGACACTGGCACTAAGCAGATGATACAATGTGTCACCAAAGCTGTTTTTTCTTTCTCTTTCGGTTTTCCTCTTGCTAGAATGCGCGCATCCTCGCCTTCTCCTGCGTGACATTCCCTCCCTCTATGTACGCGTTACTATCCAGGTAGGTGCTGGAGTCGACCTTGGTAATGGAGCCGTTCCGTCTGATGCTCCATCCGTCCCTCTCCGTACGCGTTATTATCTCAGGTGCAGGAGTCGGACCCGGTAATGGAGCCGTTCCGTCTGATGCTTCAGCACGACATCGGCGGAGTGCCCGTGGTGGCGCCGGGGACCAACCGCATCACGGCAAACATCAGCGCGAGGGACATTCTGCAGCTGCTGACGTCACCGCACCTGGCGGAGCAGCACCACCTCAAGTACGCGCATTCCCCCCTCTGCTTATTGCCTTTCTGCTTTCTGCGTACTAGCACCCTCCCCCTTTTTTCTGCTAGCGTCGTCTCTCTTCCCTCCCCGAAATCCTTTTTCTTCCCCATCAGTCATGGCGCCATCAGTCATGGTGCCATCCGGTCATGGCGCCATCGGTCATGGCGCCATCAGTCATGGCGCCATCAGTTCCATGGCGCCATCAGTCATGGCGCCATCAGTCGTATGCCACCCCTTCTATTCCCAAACCCCCAACCTTCCCCTTCCTCAGGCCGCTAACGGTGGCAGATCTGGCGTATGACGCCCAGCACCCCCATCACGGCACAGCTGACGTCATCTGCCCCACAATCCCCTTTTCTCTTCCCCATTCTCAGGCGCTGACGGTAGCAGATCTCCTGTATGACGCGCAGCGCCCGCACCACGGCACGGCTGACGTCATCTGGCCGATCATGGTGCCACCAGTCACATGCCACCCGTCACCTCGCTGCGGGAGGTGCTGCACGCGTTCCGGGTGGCGCGCGTGCACCGCATATACGTCACCCAGGAGGGGGGTGAGAAGAGTGGGGATCTGCTGGGAGTGGTCACGCTGAAGGATGCAATTGGGCGGTTCTTGGTGCGGCAGGAGGAAGAAAAGAGGAGAGGAGGGGAGAGGACAAAGAGGCGTTCCCAACCACCACGAGGTTGGTTCGGATGGGCTCAGCCTGTAGGGGGGTGGAGGGTGGTACGCTCCGCCTCACCACCCAGAGGGAGGTGCTGCATGCGTTCAGGGTGGCGCGCGTGCACCGCATGTACGCCACTGAAGAGGCGAAAGGCAGTGGGGGGGGAGTGGGGAGCTGCTGGGAGTGGTCACGCTGAGGGATGCGATTGGGCGGTTCCTGGTGCGGCAGGAGGAAGAAAAGGGGGAGGAGAGGAGGGGAGAGGGGAAAGAGGAGCCGGGTCCGACCACGGAGGTTGGGTCGGATGGGCTCAGCCTGTAGGGGGGAGGGAAGCGGAGGGAAGGTCACGGAATGGGGAGGGCAGGGCACGTGCCACCTGTCCCCCACGCTGAGGGAGGTGCTGCTCTGCACGTGTTCCGAGTGATGAGTGTGCACCGCATATACGTCACACAGCACATACCATAAGATGGGCTTGTCCTTCAGGGGGAAGGGCGGCGATGGGAGGGAGGGGAGGGAGCGGAGGAGGAAGGCATTGGGGTTAACGGCTATGCTCAATGGGCCCCTATGGAATGGAGGAGAGATTGTGAGTTGGTGTTCCGGCTGTTGCGAACAATGCTGCTGGCTTGCGTGTGTGTGTGGTTGGGGTGGCCTAGATTCCGGCCGCTGCTGTTGGATGTGTGCTGTGTGCTGTGTGCTGTGGCGCTCCCTTCCCACAGCTCTGGCAACAGGAGAAGTCGAGTCCAGACACGGTGGTGCATTTTGTGTACATATCTACCAAACACCCACCCTTGATGGCTTCCTGTTTCCGGAAGAACTGACTGAACCCTGATATGCTGTCTTAATCTTTGTACATACGCTGCCTGGCAATCTAATGTGTTCATCTCCATTGATTGGGGTGGGAAGTAGACATGGGCTTGGTTGCTGTATGTAAAACACTCTGGCTGGCTGGCACCAAATGCAGGGGTGAAACATTTCTTCCTTTCTTGCCACCACACCACACCTGCAGGGATGAGTCTGGCTAATCTGTCTCAGAGATAGGTGGAAGCTACAAACAGAATGACGACATCCGTGCACTTGGAACCCCTGCATACGCCCCAGCAAAACTTTAGGCTTTAGCACTCACAAATACAGTGAACCTCTACCAGCCACATGAACTCTGGTTCGCCACTGTCATACCGTAGTAGTCAGCAGCTGTCTTTCAATCCGCCATACACAAGCGAGCACCAACACCTGTTCTTGCTTGCCTCCCTTACAGGAGGGCTGGTGTAAATATCCCCTAGAGCACAACCATGCCATGCTAGGCTATCAGGCTTAGTGCCCCCACAGCTAGCCTGTATACCCTTAGGGAAGAGAGCATGCGACCGATAGGTTATTCAGACCTAGCTTGGGGAGTCTTAATAATGGTATGCAGTGCAGAACTGGGCTAGCTAGCTACCAGTCAGGCGACACACTCACTCTCCACTCCATGCTCCTGTGGCAGCAGTGTGGCATGGCCTAAGTTGCAGCCTGGATGGTGTTGTCTGGCTGTATGAGCAGGATGGGCAGCAGACAGCAGCACAGCAGCGCAGCACACTCAGCAGAATGCCTTCTGCAAGAGAGGAGGTGTGCGCTGCTGCTATGCCTGCCTGCACCGGCTCTACTGTCACAAGTTGCACCACTTGAACGGGTCCAATGCCTCCCCTCTCTTGCGAACTGAGCGGTGGGGTGGAAAGGTAGAACGGGGAAAGGTAGAAACACTGTGAGAGAAGAACGCCTTGTGCAAGGTGAGGTGACTGCAAGGGGTGCTTCACAACTCTGCCTGCACTGGCCTTGGTCACAAAATGCCCCATCTGAAAGGGTCCAGCGCCTCTGAGTCCGTTGAGGCACGCAGGCAGAAGGATGTGGTGTGTGAGGTAAGGAAATGGATTGGCCAAGGTAGAATCAGAGTGGGAAGCAAGGAGGTGGAGATGAAGAAAGGGTGGGAGGGATGGAGAGAGAGAGGCGGAGGGGGAAGTGACAAGTCGCACACGTTCAAAGTGAGGGTGGGTCTTGTCACCTGTGGCTCGCCCAGTTGCTCCCCACACGAAGAGAGAGCGGAGGGAGGGGGGAAGAGAGTGGAAGGGCAGAGAGACGGGCCCAGTGGCAACAAATGCACGCACCTTCGAAGTGCAGGTGGGGTCCGTGGCTCGCCCAGTTGCCCCCACACATGCACTTGCTGCCCCCTTGCCACTCGCTGCAGTCATTGTGCATACATTGCACACATGGACACACAGACGTTTGTGCATACACATACACAGAAGCACACAGACACACACGCACACGCACGAGCGCAAACACACCAACAGCAGGAAAAAGGAGGTTATAGTTGGAAAACGACGACGGACGGAAGTGTGGAAGTGAGGGAGGGCACAAGGATAAGAGGTCACCCTGAAGCTACTAGGAGAGCGGGCAGTTTTGTGGAGTGGTAGTGGTACAACCAAGACACTTGAACGATGAATTATAAGGCAAACTCCATTGAATCACCACCACCCCACCTGCCCAACGCGAGCGTTGATGATGCAGCAGTGCCATAGCGAGTGGTGAAGCCATTGTCATGCGCTATAGTCACCAGCTTGCGTACCTGGAGGCCGTGGTGGGGGGAGTGGTGGAGGAGGGGAGAGGAGAACCGTGGGGGTTTGGTGGAAGGAGGGGGGAGTAGAGGAGAAGAGGATGTTTAGACAAGCAGCATGCACTAGACCAACTACTTGAGAGTAGGTAGGGGGGAATAGAGGGGAGAAGCAAGGAGATGGCCATGCAGAAACGAACAATCACCCGGTGATGCACTCGTCTCAAACCCCCCCCCCTCCCCCCATCTCGGCTCACTCACTCACCCTACATCCCCACCAACGCCAGCATTCCCATCTCGCTATGCCTTGTTCCAGCTTTGAACTTTCCAGCCCAAACGCCACCCCCTACTCCCGTCCCCCCTCAAAAGCCACTCACCCTCCGCTCCAGCCTGCAAACGTCACCACGCCCTTGTCTGACGCCAGCACTGGCGCGCCAACTCCCGCTGCTAGATCCACGCCTGTGGCAAGGGGGAAAGGAAAGGGAGCGGGTGGAGGAACGGCGGGGATGGGGAGAAGGGGGAATAGAGAGCGTGACATGAGATAGGGAGGGGGTAGAGGAACACGAAGCAGAGGGAATAACAGTGGGGAGGAGTGAACGAAGCGGACGAAACGGGGGAGAGGATGGCAAGGGGACGGGACAAAGGAGGAGGAGGAGCAGGAGAGAGAGGAAGAGGATAAGGGGAGAGGGTGGGAGAAAGGCGAGAGAGTGAGGGGGGCGGGGGGAGAGGAGGCGTACCTCATGGAAGGATCCCCATCGCCAGCCAAAGGGACTGCTGACGAAGCTGGTGGGGAGAGAGGGTTGAGAGGAGGATTGGGGGAGAGGGATTGAGATGAAAGTGCTCGCGGAAGGAGCGGGAGAAAGGCTCACAAAAAACGCAGCTTCTGATAGGTCGGCAATTAAAGCTCAATCAGCAAGCTCAGCATGCAGACAAGCCCGTCCCAACCCCCCTGTGTTTTACGCAGTGGACTACCACAGGGCATTCACTAAAGAGGCACCTAATACTTCCCCCAACCTGAAACACCTCCCCTCCTAATCCCCTGTCCAACGCACCCGTTCACCACAGGGCAGTTAAATCGCAGCCATCCGTCCACGGTGTTTGAAGTCCACTCGAATGTCACCCCTACCTCCCCCAAGTGCCAATGCCCCTTCCCCTTTCCCCCTGAAAACGCACCCGTCCACCACAGGGCAGTTAAATCGCAGCCATCCGTCCATCGACTTGGGAAAGCCTGGGACCCTCCTCCCACCGCCCTGTTGGTGGGAGAGGGAACGGGGTGGTGGTGGTGGTGGTGGTGGGGAAACAACACAGATCATAATGAGAGGGGGAGCAGAGATCGTGATTGGAGAGAGAGCACAGCACCAACACTCATGGATCTGGGAAAGGCCTATGGGGCCCCTTCATCCATCGACCTGTAGGTTTGAGAGGGGGTACCGGCAATGGGGAACAAGTTTGGGCCATGAATGGGGAGCATAGCGCATCAGACGAGGAAACAGATGAAGTGCACAAACCAGCGGCCATGACTCAGTAAGAAGCATCTACTGGGTCACGTAACATTTCTTGCAAGTTAGAAATGACATGGCCCACGTAGGGAGTTACAGCTCGCATGCAGATGCCAATGACAGGTGGATACAAACGAAAGAAGGAAAGAAAGGCGACACAGCAGTCCAAAAAGCACAGACAGAAATGCGAAATCTGGAATGCCACACTTCAGTTTCAAGCAATCAGCACAAGGAGCAGAACGCACCTTCTAGAAGAGAAACTCGAGCCCCTGCTGCTGCTGAAGCCGATTTCACAATGGCTCCTGCTGCCGGACCTCCCACGCCGAGCCTCGTGGGCAGGTTCGCAAGTGAGGACGGGGAGAGCCGGGAAAAAGGGGGGCGGCAGGTCCGGCGAATACCAGGCCTGAGCTCTGGTACGAGCGACGCTGGTTGGCTGCAGAGTGGTATGTTGGGGGGCAATGGGAGAAAGGAGGATAGTGTTGAGAGAGGGTGAGCTGGAGCAATGGCCAGTTTCAGAATACCGCAGACCGAGATGGGGCAATGGCCATGGAGGGGGAACCGGGATGGGGTATACAGCTGTGGGATATTAAGATGAGACGTGGTCTATCCCCTATCCCACTCCCAGCACTTACAGAAAATGAGTGTGTCGCCTTCCACAAAGAGGTCCGACCTCAGGTTGTTCAGCCGATGCAGGAACACAGCCGACGTCCCACGCGCAGGTCCCTCTCTCGGCGATCTACGCCAGAGTATCCCTACACTCAACGCCCCCTGACACCATGCACACCACACAACACTCTCCCCTCCCAGCACTCACAGCACGAGACGATGAGCGTGTGCCTTTCCACAATGAAGTCCGACCGCAGGTTGTTCAGCCGCTGCAGGTCCCTGATGGACGTGCGGTGCTTCAGCGCGATCTCCGCCAGGGTGTCCCCGAACTGCACCTTCACCGTCTTGATGCACATGGGCACCCGCAGCCCCGGCTGCCTCGCCGCCCGCCTCTTAGACGCGCCTACCGGTTCAAACATGGGGTTTCGGACATGGGCGGGTTCACTGCGCGGCTGGCCGGTACTAGCGTCCGTCCATAATGGAATTCCGCTCCGTCCTGCTCGCTTCTGGCATTTTCTGCGCTTTTTCTCCGCCTTTTTCTTATCCGGGCCCTTGCCAATCCTTCCCCACAGCCCCTACTGCTGCTGTTCTTCCCCCATCCCCATCTCTCCAGTCGCTGCTGCTGCTGCGGGCGCTGGCGCTGGCGCGCGGGCTGCAGGCCTTGTAACCGGGGCTGCTCTCTTAGCGAAAACGCTACTATCGGGGCTATGGGTTGTGCCCGCAGTGGCAGCAGCCGGCTGCTGTTCCTTCGTCGAACTAGCTAATGGCACGACTCCTCCCCCGGCCGCTCTCCTGCCGCGACCCCTGCTGCAGAACCCCCTACGGCAGACGCAGGGACTCCTCTTAAGCCACAACCGGCGCGCCGGCAGCCGCCGCAGCAGCAGGGCCACTGGTACCAGGGCCATCGGTTGCAGCCGCGGCTGCAGCGGCACCACCACGTTCCGCCACTACCGCCGCCGCCGCCGCCGCTTCCGCTGCTGCAGTCGAGGAGGAGGACGCGAGGCGGGTCTGCACGGTGTGGTTGATCAGGTGCGCCGCTTGCACGCACCTCAGGCGTAGGAGCGGAATGACGATCCGAGGGGGAAGCAGAGGGGTGGCGAGGAGTGGGGTCGCTGACACTTCTCGGAAAACACTGCAAGTAGGCTGCAAAACGGTGCCAGAAAGAGGGAGTTTTGAGGGTTGGACGGGAACGGGAGAGAAGAGAAGGAGACGGAGGAAAACGGGTAGGGGGAAACAGGCGAAAGCGAAGTGAAGCTACACGCAGGGACGGAAAAACAAAGCTGGATAATAAGGATGGTGATACCCATACGACGCGTGAACTAGCTTAAGGTACCGAACTTGGTGAGGCTTGATGGTACACAGGTCAGGTCACACGACGATCTAGACCAAAGCCATTCCTGACCAGTCAGCAATCGTGCCTTGCAAAGCCAACTCACTCGAATGGGATGTTCATCGACGGCCCAGATCCATCAGCCACTCGGGGCTCTCATGAGCGGCCTCCGATCAGCCCTTTCGCCTTCCTAACGGCTATTCGTTCCTTCGACCGAACCCTCCACGTGCTCGGGGGTGTCCCTGGAGGCGACGCCACCGCTCTCCCCGAACCAGCCGTTTTAGGTCTGGCAGCTGCCGTCCCTGCTGCCACTGCCGAGCCTGCCGAGCCTGCTGCTGCTTGTTGCACGCCAGCGGGCTTTAGCGTCGACGCAGTAGACGCGGGGGGCGGAGGAGCCTTCAGTGGGCTGGTCGAGGCTAATAACGAGGGTGATGATAACGAGCGTGGCACTAGTGGGGGAGAAGCGGCCCGTGGAGAGGGGGGACCGAGCCTCCCCGTCAACCGCGCGACAGGGAGGGAGAGGTCGAAGCCGTCGCCTCCTTGGGCCACCATCGTTGCAAATGGTTGTCGCGAGGCAGCACCCGGAGATTGGATTCCCTGCCCAGCCTGCGATTACGCACACATGAGATGTAATAACTCAATGGTTGCATCTGGTTGGATCAGTCTAAGGGCTTGGTCAACCAGAGTGAGAAACGGGAAATGGGACAAGTTGAGACCGGTTACGGTGAGACGAGTCTAATTGTACCATCGCAGCCGGACAGAAGCGGCGATCCCCGTCTTGACGATTGGTAAACCAATCGACATAAAGACAAGGAAAATTATGAAGATTTGTCAATAGTTTTAACGGCAGCAATGGCCTCTCCTTGCTATAACCCAACAACAGCCAGCGAACGACGACGGTAAACAAGAAAAAAAATACCAGACTTATTGCCTTATGTAAGCAGGTATGGACTTACAAGTTTGTAATCGTCTGAACTGCTTTTATCTACCCATGGAAGAGAAGTTTTTAGCCAATCCAGGGCCATCCCTGGTGATGGCCCTGAACCGGCACTTGGACGCCCTATTTTTCCGGCTCCACTACGCAACCCACGTGGCTATTGATACAGCACTGCTGCTCAGAGCAAAAAACTCGGGTTCGATGTCTGCACTCTGCTGGTAAGGAAGCTAGTCTAGGTGCCTACACCTGCTTGCATCTGATAGGAGCTCCGATTCCGCTGCTTATGGAACTAGAGAGACACTTCCGTCCGAAGTTAGCCAGCCATGGCCAGCCAGTTGGAGGTTTCTATGGAGAGGAATGAGTGCGCTGCTTAGCAGCTGGAGGTCAATGAGATGAAAACTGGTTGGTTGGGTTGGGGGAGGTTGGGGGCGGGGGAATGTCATGGCAGGTGGTAACGAGAGCAAAGCAGAGCTAGGTTAGAGGAGTTCGACGGCCTTGGAGAGCCCAAAAGGAGCCGTTGAAGCTTGGGCTCAGCTCCAGATTCGGCTGCTTGATGGCTTGGGTTTCCCTGAAACCATCTAATTGGTCCGCAATCTCTCAAGCCGGTTTGGTCCGGCGTGACGGAGCCCCTTCGGCCACGTACCTGGACTTGAAGTTCGGTAATTTGCGGGAAAGCCCGATGGGTTTGGCTTGGCCCGAATGAAGTGCGCCTCGACCTGGCGTGGTATCCTCACCGCCTTTGGTTTGTGGAGAAACGTGATTGGGAGCTTGCCAAACGGGTTTGGATGTCGTGGTGTTGGCTGGAAACATGGGTTCTGAGCCACATAACCTGCACTCTTACATTCGTCAGGGTGCCACTGGGTGTCGGAATTGACTTGTTCCACAGCCGATGACTCTTTTGCTAAGTATTTCCAGGACTAGATTCCAAGCCTAAATCCGAAACTCCCAGTCGTTCCCGAACCTGTGATGCAAAGCGTTTGTAGTTGGCTGTCAGTGGATAACGTCGGCTGGCTGCCCAGAGGAGAGTGGTTCATGTGTTTACCGCCGTGAAGGATGTTGTTAATAAGATATAATCTAGGGAAAGTACATCCGCTCTCAGTATTAGGGTCCCCGCTATTACGTACGGTCAGTGGAACGCTATAAACCATCAGAATTAGTGAGTTCGTCACACGGCTAGTCAGTCGGGTTCCATTGTTAGTCAGTGGCTGCTACGAATGGTCAGCAGATGTAAACCCCCGCCCATTTTTGGCAGATTTCCCGCTCGCGGCAGCCCAACAACCAAACGACTGTAATAATTGCGCGGGGGGCGAGATTTTTTTCGCGCCAGCCTGGTGCTGCACATTTCGCCCTCACTCCAACCCTCCCCTGTACTGTACATTTCGCCCTCGCTCCAACGCTTGGCACTGTACATTTCGCCATCGCTCTAACCATCGATAATGTATATTTCGTCCTCACTCCAACGCTTGGTACTGTACATTTCGCCCTCCAACTGCAGGTTTAGAATTCTGAGAGATCCTTCTGATCCGTGAAGGACCTCGCCTCGCCCAATGTGCAGCCTCAGGCTGGCACGAAAAAAATATCGCCCCATTATTACAGACGTTTGGTTGTTGGGCTGCCGCGAGCGGGAAATCTGTAAAACATATATTGTATGTTGTTATAGACTATATAGGGTTATGCCGTAGGGAGTACAACCCATTAAGTTATATTCCTTTGTATGTCACTATTCTAGTCATTCTTTCACTTCAACATAGTATCATGAGTAGGTAGGTCCCCCCGCCCACTAGTGCTTCCGCCCTAGGTCCTAGCCGCCCCGTTCCCCTCCCGCACGTGCCGGCCTGTCTCCTAGCCAGCCCCGTCGCCTAGCCGGCCCCATAGCCCAGCCCGCCCTGTCGCCTAGCCGGCCCCGACTCCTAGCAGGCCCCGCATCCTAGCAGGCCCCGCTGCCCCAACGGCCCCGTCGGCCCCGCCTCCTAGCTGGCCCCGCCGCCTCCCTCGGCCCCGTCGTCCTAGCCAGCCCCGTCGCTCAGACGGCCCCGCCTCCTAGCCGGTCCCGCCTCCTAGCTGGCCCCGTCGGATAGCCGGCCCGTCGTCTGACCAGCCCCGTCGCTTAGCTGGCCCCGTCGTTTAGTCGGCCCTGTAGCCCAGCCGGCCCCGCCTCCTAGCCGGCCCCGTCTCCTGGCCGACCCCGCCTCCTAGCCGGCCTCGTAGCCCAGCCGACCTGCCCCTCCCCCCAGCCGGCCCGTCTCCTGGCCAGCCCCCCTCCTAGCCGGCCTCTCCTCGCCGACCCCGCCTCTAGCCGACCGCGCCTCCTAGCCGACCTCGTCGCCTAGCAGGCCCCGTGGCCCACCGGCTCTGTCCCGCTGCTGGCCCTGTCGCCTAGCCGCCCCGTCGTCCAGCCGGCCTCGTCACCTCCACGCCTAACCGGCCCCGTCGCCTCGCCGCCAGCGGCCCCGTCTCCTCGACGCCTCGCCGCTTTCCTCGGCACTTGCACCGCCTAACACCGCACTGCACCGCTCGGTACTGCACTGCACCGCTCTACACCGAACTGCACCGCACTACACCACTCTGCACCGCACTGCACCACGCTGCACCGCTCCCTACCGTACTGCACCTCCTCTACCGCACTGTACAGTACCGTTCCGCACATCACCACTTTCCGACGGACCCTACTGCCCATCGCCTTTCTGCTGCTGCAGCGACTATGATGCCGGACTCGGTCCTGCGTTTTGATGCGGAGGGGCAGCCGATTGAGTATGACTCGTGGCTCCTCGACCTCCAACGACACCTAACTAGTCAGCGGCAAGACGGCCACTCCCTGGCCGTCCACATCGACGGTACGCTCCCCTGCCCGGACCCCCCTGCTGCTCTACCCGCTGATCCCACGTCTGCTGACCGTGAGTCTGCTGCTGCTGCTGCCCTTGCCCGTGCTGATTGGTTGTCGTGTCGCTGCGCACAGCTTGCGATTAGTCATGCCCTCCCCTGTCCGAGCGCCCCCGCTTTAGGTCGGTCAGGACTGCGCAGGAGTTCCTAGAGGCTGTTGTTGCGCACTATTCTATACCGCCCTCTGCCTCTGTAGGCCGTCTAATCATGCCTATGCTCTTTCCTGACCACGCGTCTTTCCCTACCGCCGCTGACCTAGCTGCCCATTTTCACAC